GCATGAAGAATTGAATAACTTCACAACAAATCAAGTATGAGAATTAGAGAGATAAAGAGATACAATGATTGAAACCAAATGGGTTTTTAGAAACAAGCAAGATCAAGATGGCATATAGTAAAGAACAAAGCAAGATTGGTAGCATGTTGATATACAAGTTGAAGTTGGGTCTTGATTTGGAGAAACATATGCACCGTTGCTAGATTGAAGCATCAGAATCTTAGATAGCCTACAAGCAGTTTGCAACATCGTTTTTCTCCTATCAATGATTAAGAGTGCATTTCAATGGTTACATCAATGAAGTTAAAGTATATGTTAAGCAACCTCCTGATTTTGAAGATGACAATAGCCTGACTATGTGTATAAGCTGAAGAAGTTGCATTGTGCTTTTGGCTTGGAAGTAAGTACCCTGAGCATTGCAGCAATAGATTGAGGGACTTCTACCTAATGCTCTCATGATGGGCAAGGTTGATGCTACTCGTTCACCAAGAGGATTGGTAAAGACTTATTTGTGTTACAAATCTATGTTGATGACATCATATTTGGATCAACCAATCAAGACTTTGTAAAAGAATTTGGAAAGATAATGGCTAATGAGTTTGGAAATGTCCATGATTGAAAGAGTTAAGTTACTTTCTTGGTCTTAAAATCAAGCAATTGAAAATAGTGTTAATTCATGAGTCAAGGCAAGTACATCAAAGACATGCTCAAGAAGTTTGGCATGAGTGATAGCAAAGCCATTAGCACACCAATGGGGACTAATGGCAATTGATAGTGTAGCAATCTTCTGTGTTACATTGTATAGTTTTTACAAAAAACACCTGCATGAGCATCGATTTGTGTAAATGTGTGTAATACAGGTATACAAAGAATGTATCTAAGACTTGAAACGTTTCATCCAAAACAAGAAACAAATGTTACATTTCATGTCTCTTTATACCGCTTTAGGGTTCTAAGTGAATTTTATTTAACAAAAATGCTATAGAACTTTATGCGAGCTTTGATAAAGTTTGTAGTATGAACTTAGTAGGCAACGAATGAAATATGTGCGGTCGAGGATGGGGTTTTGCTAGCTAGTGTATTCGGTAACTTGAAAATTGCATCCGACGTGAAATCATAGGGACTTAGCCGAAATTTCCCGCGTTTAACAATGCGCTGACGGCTTATGTTCGCAATTTTGTAGAGCGATCGGGTTAAGAGGTGGTATGATGTTTGGTTTGTCTGACAAGCAGCTTGTAGGTACCCTCTTGGGTGTAAAATAGCTGGTTTGACTTCTTGAATCATTGGGTTTGAGTTTTTGAACGGTTTTTAAAAGCGCGGTAAGCTTATGGGTTGAACCATGCCAATGCCCGGGCGCTATTCAACGCCCTATTCGGGCTCGGCATCGAGCAAGTTGGCCGGCCTAGCATGTCGCTACCGGGCCGTGATCGCCATCGCCACACTCTCGCGGCGGGCACGCCATCGCTGCGGCTACCATAAGACCGCCGCCCCCGCCATCGCGTTCTTGTTTCCCCATCAAGTCCGCGCCACTGCGACGCCTCAAGACCTCACTTAAGGCCACTGGCAGCCGTTGTCCGCCGGTCATGTACGGCGCCGGTGATGGCATGCGCTGGCTGGCCTCGCCATGCCACCGCCGCTCGCTTTCTCCTCCAGTTAAGGCCCCTCCTCACAGATCGCCTCGCGCTGTCAAGCCCCGCCATCGCTTCTATTGACGCTGCCGCGCTGATACATGGGCTTGCCCCTTCGCTGTTTGCTCATTCACTTGCATGTGAGGCTACCTAAAGTAAGTTAGTCATGTCGCCTAGAAGATCGCTTTCGGCCGATCGAGCCACACCAAAGCAAAATCGATGTGTTGTTGGCTTTCTTTGTACCGAGCACGCCCGGGTGGTCGAGTGGAAGGACAAAGGTCATGCCTAACCGCCACCATTGTGGTGGTACAAGGATGGGCGCCTAATTTGAACTTTTGCCATCGCCGACCGCCATAAGTCCGTAGAGGCTGCTGCCCCCGCAATTGGCCCCTCATACACTCCACCGCTTTCTAATTAATCGTGCACACTACGAGCTCTGGAGAAGTTAGCTTTCGAGTGAATTCATCCCAGCTGTTCGCTCGCCTATAGTGAGGTGAGGTAGGTGTTCCCTCTGGGCGGCGTCCGCCATGGCCGCCAGAGCGGGCGCACAAACTGGGCGTCTTGTGGTGCTTCGCTATTTTAATTAGGGTGCGGTATTGCGAGTGGTTGACTTGGTGATCGCGCCGCAAAGGGTTTCACCGGTGGAGCCAAGGGTCACCTGAGACGCCTGCCGATCGCCGGGAACCGAACCGTGAGTCACCCTATTTTCGCGGGTCGACCATCTTGCCGAGCCTCGTGTTTCGCCAAATCCGGCCCATCACATGTCCGGTGAGGCCTCTTACTCCTAGGGTAGCCGGTTGACTCAATTAGGCCAAGGTTCGCTCTGAGGGCGTGGTCATCCCCGATGGATGTGGGTAGATGCCATTTCCATGGCCGACGCGCTGAATGTAATAGCGGCTCAATTAGGGACTTCTACATTGTTTAACGCAGTCCATAGATGGTTGGGAGTAGCTGTTGAGGCGCTAGGCAAGGTTTATTCACCCAAGATCGGTGCCACCACTGCCCAAACAATGCGCGTGATGCGTGGGCATGCTTCGCAAGCTACACCAATCGGGCTGTTTAGTACCTCTATCTGGGATGTGCTTGGGCTGAGGAGTGTCAAAAGCGTGGTAAGAATTGAGGCCGTGGAGGTGCGTGCTCACCTATGTGAGGGCGTGGAGGGTCACGTCTCTCGCTAAGTCCAGCCATGGATGTCGCGACATAAATTCGAGGCAACACCAAGAGGCTAAGTGCTAGAGTCGGAGGAGAAGGGAATAGTGGAATGGACTATGGTTTCGATTGTTTGGAATTGAGGCTCTTTGTTTAATGTGGTGCGCCAGACGGTCTTCCTCCGGTGGGTCACGGGCGCACGTGGTGTGTTAGCACGATGGTCGCATTGAAGGTCACGGTGAGAGCGCTGGTGCATGGCGGGCTGGTTGCCAGCTTTCGAGTGCCGAGTATTCAGGTGGGTCAGCCATTCGAAGTGGGTCAAAGAAGAAGGGATTCAGTTTATTTGAATATTGAAGACGACCAATATAGTTTCAAATAGAACTTGAAAAAATGATAGTAAATCTTGCAGATGTCCAAAACAGTGAACCCCGGTTTCTTAGGGTTCACAAAAAATGCCATCTATCTGCTCGTAGGTTGTTTTATAGTTAGCTATGTTAATGGGATAAATTCATAAACTCAAACTAGGTAGCTTAGCATTATGTAGATTAATATTTATAGGAATTCTTTTTGCGAAAATTAAGATAGTTATAGCTATGAAAAAATTTTACAAACGAGGGCAATAATTAGGTTATTATGTACTATTGGTAAAATTCCAGAAATTTAGAATAGGTTGATAAATAGAGTAGCTATTATCCCTTTTATCATATATCGCTATGAATCAAAGAATTGGAGTAAGAATACCCGTAGTTGCTATAACAACGCATGCCATCCTTCATACTTTTTACTTGTTAGCAACTTAGTACCTTGGTCGGGGTAGCACTAGCTCAAAGAGTTAGAGCAAATGTACTTTTGGCTCTTAAGAGCTGTTGCTGTTATATTAATAAGTATTACATCATCATTTCATGCAGCGTAGATCGTAGAGTCGTAGGAATTTTTTTGTGCCCATCACCTAATGTGAGTACGAGACGGGTTATTGAGGAGCATAAGGAGGAGATCCTCAAAAGTATGGTTCGCAGCCCTCGTGGAGCCGACTCATTAATCTGTCTGCCTCGCCCCAAGGCAAGCCCTGTGCAGAATCCATATTTATGATCACCTAATATATATATATGATGTATTTAAGCTATAGGCATTTTATGGAAACTACATGCATAAATATATCTACTCTATGAGTCCTACTAGGTACAGTTTAGTAGTCAAGCTATGCTCGTAGAATCTCAAGAAGCGTGGGATAACTCCGCCGCTACTCACAAGTAGGTGATAAATATGATGACTCATGATAAAATGTTGTAAAGTAAAAAATGGTGACCGGTAGGGATATGGTTTGGGCATTGGTGGGTGTAAGGGTTGTGTCTCACGTGCCAATGGGTGGCATAGCGGGTTACACTTTTCCCCTGTTCGTGGTTTATTAAGAACCTGTCGCTGCTGTATGGCTCTAGGCAAGTCACAGATCTATTGTCCCTAAGCACATACTTCTGGGTATGCAGAAAGACTTGTTGCCTCTTGTCGTGGATCCGAACTTTTTTGAACTGAAAGTGATTGAGATATGGAGATGGTGGAGGTCTCCTGAGCACCACATCGAGTCC